TCCGGGTAGCATCCAGATCCTTGTATCATTAAGTTGTAACCTAGTTAGGGGTTAAGAATTTCTATTCACATTGTACATTTTGTATTTCCAGCCTTAATAATAATGTTATTAAATTACATTAGAATGTTATACATTATAAATAATGTTATGTACTTATCATGTGTCCTTTACGATAACTTTGCGAGAGCCTATTTTTTAAAAAAGGGTAGGGGAATAGGCAAGGAAGTACAGATATGTTTGAAAAGAATTGTTATAAAATAATGTAAATGAAATTACTGAAGTCTATTTAGAAGGTCACAAAGGTCTTGCCTATGTAGAGAACACATTAGATTTAGAAGAAAACAAAACAAAACAAAAAACAAACAGCAACAACCACAACAAAAAACAGCTCCCTACCCGAACAAACATGGCATTTTCTTTCTTTGGGATTTCCTTTTCAAGAAAGTTTGACTTTCTTGGAAGTAAAGAGCAGGCCTGATATGAAATGTTGAGCTTTCTTATGGGCAGCTCCTGAAATACATTTTTCTGCCCATTCAGGTGTTATCTAATGCTCTTTCTGTCATCCAGGCTGCTTCACTAGGGGTCTATCTTTTGGTATCAATGCAAACTTTGGAGTGTGTGTGTGTGTGTGTGTGTGTGTGTGTGTGTGTGTTATCGGGTATCACTAATCCCTTCCAGGGATTGCTATCTCTGTTTTGACTTTTCTAAGGGTTTTCAGATATTCTCAAACAATGTCTAGTGAACAAATCCGTTTGAATGCTGCCCAAGTACATAGAACTCACTAACTCAAAACAGTCCATTTTCTCCTAACACTTGCCTGTCTTCAGACATTCCATACTGCAAGCTATTCCTTACCACTTGTTTTTATTTTGCTGCTTTATGTAATTTTTTTACATATTTTCTGGTTCTAGTTTGGCATGTCCCCTGTGTGTATAACAAATGCAGTACTCAATAATTAATTGTTTCTACATTAATGAGTCTCTTCTTCAACAAACATTGAGTAACACTAGATTCAAAATTGTAAAGCAACATCAAATGTGCATGCTTTAACTAAAATAAGTATAATTTTTTATCTTTATTTTTTCTGTATTGCTTGTAAATAATGCCACTCACATCATGTTGACACAAAGAAATATCTACAATTTTTAATTGGTTTTTGAAATGCAGTTTCAAGAAACATCCAGTGATAATGAGAGTATCTAGCTTAAGAATATCTTACTTTGTTCTTGTTTCATTTCTGTCATTTTCGGATTGGAAATACTAAAAAATAATAAGCTGCTCTTCCTTACCCTACTTTCCCATATGGTACATTTTCTTTAATGCTTGGTTGAAGTTGTAGCCTTGCTTTACATTTTGCCTAATTCCACCGTTGCCATGCAAAGCCGAATGCTCTTCTGAACCTTTCGTCTTTCCAAGTTAACTTCAGGCATCACAACCAGTATAGAAGATGAAGAAATGAGAATTCTTTTCCTACATTGTTAATTTTTGTTTATTCAATTACCCAGTATCATACAAATTGTGAAGGATGTCTTATTGTGTATTGAGGAAGATCTCAATTCCTTAAGTGAATCAAGAATGCTAATGAAGCTGATTACAGCTTTGGACACCAAGAGGGCCAGTGAGCATATTTATGTAGTTATTGAGAACAAGAGAGATTATGCCAGACACAAGTGTACAATGTTCGAAGGAGTCTTTATTAGTCAAGTTTGGTGATGGCAGTGCTCACCATACTGTATGAACTACAACCATATTTGGAGTTGCACCTTGAAATAGCAAATGATCAAAACCCTGGGATGAAGAAATGGTCATTTTTATAAAATCAATCTGTTAAACAGAAACCTACGTCCCCACTTCCCCAGCAATATGAACTATCCGTAGAGACACAGAACAACCTGGACACACTTCTAAAACTGCAAATACATACAAACGAATTCATCTTTTCTAAGCTTCTCTGCCCAGATTCCATTAATGCTAGTAGTCTGCATAGGTCTCCCCTCTCTTGAAACACTTGAAAGTACACAAATTAGCAATACAAAACATCTTAGTATTTGCGTCTTTGCTCATTTGCCCAAGCAGTATGCAGAGTGTCAGGAAAGTGATGTATGTGGGCCACGTTCAGGGGCTGCCTCTGTCCTCAGACTCTGTCCGTGGGAAGCAAGAGAGCAAGTGGGTATACAGGAGGCCAAGAGCTGGAGCATGAAAGAGGTGAAGAGGGCCAAAGCATGAGTAGTGAAGCATGTGGCCAACAGAACGAGCTGCTCACCAGTGTGTGCTATTATGGGACTTGAGAAAGGAGTGATTATGTAACAATGGAACACTGCTCCTCCGACCCATGTGACAGGCACTGATGAATATACATTCCTTGATGTATAGGAAGGCAAAGAGTATTACACAGGTGGAAGAGATGTGGCTTCCAAACTCATGACCCTGAACTAGCTTCCTAAGACCATATTTTAATTTTAAGGATTGCTGATGGATGCAGATTCATATCTTCTATAGCTGCTTCCTGTTGACTAGTGCTGTAGGTTCTTAATCTCAGGTTCAGAAATCTCTTCCTATCTCATGTAATGGATCTGTTTCAAGAGTTGGAGGATTTTTAGTCAGTGCCAATAACAGTGCAACCAGCATGGTCCTCATTACTCTGAGTAGTTGTTGGATTGTAACACAGCCAATTCGATCATTCAGTAAAATCTGAATAAATCAAACCTTCAAGTGGAGTGCCCGTTAAGAAGACACCTTGCTCTGGAGTCAGAAAAAGAGATGACTAAACATCCACACCAGGGTTATCGTATAAATAAAGTTAAGAGGAATGAGTTACTTCTTTTGTGACAGTATGCAGTCCATTGCCTCCAAATATTTGAGAGACTATATTAAATCCCTTCTTCCTAGGAGGTGGCTGGAGTCATGTATTTCCTTAATAACTGACCCCTGAGAGGCCACTGATGACAAAATCTTGTGACCTAAAGTCCCAATATAATCTCATTGTTGTCTCCATTCAACCTCCTACTCTACAGTGAGGGTCTTTAGTTATCTCTATAGACTAAGAAATCAAAGCCATTTCCATAGCTTGTTGTGCAGTGGCTCTTTTGGTTATCAAATCTGCCAATATCTTTCCCTTGCTATTACAACTATCTTCCTTTTGGTGTCTCTTACAGTGAATGACGGTTGCTTCCCAAGGCTCCCAGTACTTGACTGAAGCACGTCTCATCTCTTTTCCAATCTTGATAGGAAAGTTCTCAGCATTAAATAAGCATGTTTCCAGATGGCTACATGTGCATGTAACAGAAGGAATCTGTACAGGTATTTTTTCTATTTGCAAGGCTCTAGTTAAAGGAATACGTCCAGATTTTGAGCTCAAATATTACTTGGCATTGCTTGAGCTTCTGTTACCTCAGCAAAACCCCGAATGGCACAACCTAACTTTCTAACTCTATCCTTCACGGACTACTGCCATCAGTAAGCCAGTCAACATCTGGATTCCCTAGAGGTTCATCCCGCAGGTCAGATTTACTAGAATATACTCAAAGCAAAGAAACTAAACATTCAGACATAACAATACATTTTGTTTAACACACTAAAACAAAAAGCTCTTTTGAGAACACACTTACCCATAGAGAGAGATCCTGAATCAAAAATAGCCACATTGTCAGTATATGCCAATGGTTAGTGATGAGACAGTATGAATTGGTAGATTGAAATTCATCCTTTTGGAGGAAAAGAAAAAAAACAAAATACTTTATAGTATAGGTCCCTTGAGCATGGTACATGAGGAAATTCTATCAACTAATCATTTGAAGAATGTAAGGATAGGTTACCCACGTATAATGCAGCTTGGCGGCACCACGGTGTTACACAATCTGAAAAGACGCAACACGCTTCTGAGCCAAATGCAATTTAAAATTTACAAAGGCCCTTCCCATTTTTTCCTGTTTCAAATAGCATCCTTCTAAAAGGGTATATTTATAAAGCAGACAATCATATAGTCATTTAGAGTAATGTAATAGAATAATATAATCAAGTAGTGTAATGGAGACTGTCATATTGAGATGTGAAGATACATTGCAATATGCATTTCCAAATGAAACTGTCAGATGTATCTTGATAATAGGATCCTGGAATCTCTGACATTTTCCATATCTTCAATGTCAGGATACACTGAAACAACAGAATGATTGACTTATGACTTATGAAGGGCCATGCTATTGTAATAATACAGGGGAAACAAGTGGGGGGAGGGAAATTGGAAAGCAGGGAGGTGAAATCTCAGCACCTAGGGAACTATATCATAAAACAAAAGAAAACAAAACACATCCTTTATACTAGTCACATAGTGCTTAGGCTGGATTTCATAGGTCCCCTACTCCAGATCATTTGGCATCTTAAATTTGAGCAAAAGGAAGAACAAAGTGTTTATTACCTTGAATGTGGTTCCAATGGGAACAACAAAGTTTAGGTCCAACTGGTGAACTGTCCTTCAGGAAGCAGCACTGAGTTGGTAGCTGTGTCAGAAGACACAGATAAGAAAAGACACATTACACTGTCTGCTGCTTTCTTCTCCAGCTTCATATTTTAGGGTATAACCCAAAAGCCCAAACTCACATTCAAGTTAGTAGTTAAAACGATATCATGGGCTATGACAGTGTGGTAAAATTTATTAATATAGAGGTTGTTATTTTTTAGTAAGCTGTAACAGTAGCAAATTACCCACAAGGTTTTCTCTTTAGATCATTGGTAGACTACTTATCCCATAGTTGCACTGTAGATATTACATTTTTGGATTTTAATGCAAGTGGGAACTATATCACTCCATTTACAAAATGACTTCATATTACAAAGAATATAAATAGGGTGGTTGGATTATATTATTGTATTAATTTCTCACTATTTTAATTTTCTGAGATGAGAGTTTGTTCACCCAATTGTGTTCTATAACTTGTGAAATAAACTACAGTGACAGTCTAAAAATTATCCTTTTTTTGTTTCTATGTTTCTATTTTCAGGACTCATCTCAGGTATCTGGACTCCCTGAGTATGTTAAAATAGTAGAAGTTGGACCTAGGGATGGATTGCAGAATGAGAAGGTAATTGCATGCTAGTTTTATGAAGTTTATTTTAATATTAAATATTAGTGTTTCTAAAGATTTCAGACTTATTTGCATTTTCTATGCCACATGATTTTTTATCCTTAATTGCTACTTAAATTTTTAAATTACAAGTAATATTTTTCAGAAAGTGATTTTCTGTTAAAACAACAATAGTAACTATACAATTACTTCTAATTTAACTGTTTATGTCTTACAGGTTATAGTTCCCACAGACATAAAAATTGAATTTATTAATCAACTCTCCCAGACTGGCTTGTCTGTTATAGAAGTGACCAGCTTTGTGTCTTCCAGATGGGTTCCACAGGTATTTAATCTGTATTCCTTAATTAGACCCTTAATCAAACTTTGTGGAAATCATTTACTATAATACAGATTATGATATTAATCTACTATCATTACACATTTTTCATATTCTTTAAAATATTAGCCAACACCCTGATATGATTAAAGAAAAGTCCTTTGGTAAAACATTAATTGAATTCTAAAAGGGGACTTAGAATTCTTCAATATGTATGTGAACTTACATACGGTCTTAATGGATGAACAGAAGATAGGCTCTTGAATAGTGTATTGGCCTCAAGTTACCAATTTATTACTGACATTTCGAATAATTTAAACTTCTCCATGTGCTTTAATACTTTTTTTCTGCTAAAATGAAGTAATGATAAGTGTACTGATAACCCTACCCACAGAACTCGAGATTAAAGATTAAAGTGTATATTCTACTCTGTTTTGCTTAGCATATATATTTGCTACAGGGGTAAGCTACGAAACATCATCAAAGATAAAGAATAGAGTCATCAATAATCCTTTGTTTTTATTTTATTAATTTTATTATTTATTTATTTATTTATTTATTTATTTATTTATTCAGTTCCAAAATATGCTAGTCCTTTTCAATGGTTTTTCAAAGCTGTATAGAAAATAATCATTTTCCCACAGTGATGTTCATTGCCACATTCTCTTATTACACAATGATGGAAACTGACTGGTAGGTTGCTCCTCATACCAATCTATAGCGTATCTGGTGGCATTTGAAATGATGAGGCTGGAATCCTTTCTAGTTCACACTTGTTTCTTTGCAGTGGGTTAAGACAAAAGATGGATAAAAGAAAAAAGAAAAATGGCCCCATGTGGGTAGTAAGCAACAAATGCCTCCTGGTTTTACATTGAGTAGATACACATGAAAGGAATATAAAATGGTGTGATTTATTCTGGGTTTGGTCCTGAGTTGAATTTGGGATTTGGCCTACTGAGATTTAATGAACTCTTCCTAGACTCAAAGTATTATCGAATAAGTGATTGAATTGCCCCAAATAGTTCTTAAGGACAGCTGTGGTAAGAATTGCTTCTAGCACTTTCTTTCTATCAAGATTATGCCATGAATTTGAATACTTAACCTCTGGGACTCTTGGAAATCCCAGCACTGATGCCTGAAGCAGAGGAAGGGTGGGAGATAATAATAAATGTGAATGGTACCTCTCTGTGAACGTCCAACTTTGAGAGCTCCTGGCTCCTGATCAGTTCTCAGCAGTATTATTTAAAGGCATATCTGACTGACAGAGGGATTGAGTTCCAGGCAAAGTAATTGCCTTCTATTTCATCATTAACATTTCTCCCAAGATTAAAATATGTATGTAGCCTAAATACTAATTGGTTCTGATTTGAATAAAAATTCTCTGTGCTTCAAACATTAAAGGACAATGTCCTTTGCGTTTAATACTTACCCAGGTACATGTATCCCAAAGAGATAAAGTTACTTAAATCCGTATCTACAAAAGATCGAGGTGCCTGGATCAAAGAAATTATTATGAGATTAATCTATCAAGGTTGAACTAATCACCAACCCTGAAACTATCACAGGTTCTCTAAAAGGCATTATTGATGATATCATATTTGTTTTTGCAGTTTGATTGATTATAATTGCCTTTTTGTTGTAAATTTCACTGATACTGCCTGAGCACAGCATCTTTATATGCTTCTCCCTCATTTTCGAAGACAATTATAAGATCTCTGGATAATCTAACTTTAATGTAGAATTTTTATGAAAATGATTCTATTTCAACAGGGTTCATGTATATGGCTGCAATAAATGCCTACTTCTAAACATAACATATATGGCAACATATTAGTATCCTGTTAATTCTCTTCATCGTCTTATATTTTTTCTCTCAGACACAGGTCATGGGAATAATCCCCAGTTTATGTTTAGATTCCTGCTTGTTCACTTATTTCTTTTTTTAGCATTTTAAAACCTTTTTACAGTTTCCATCCTACTGTTTTGCTTGGCAGAGGCTTTCTAACCCAAAAAGCTAGAAAGAAAATTCCACAGTAGTAGGGTGCCATGTAAAACAGGATTCCACACCTATAATCTAAATGGCCAAAGATGATAAACTACCTGCTATTAGAAAGTACGTATTCATTAGGACTTGTCTGGAAAAACCTTTCTGTAGAGTGACATGCAATGTGAGAGTATTTTAAATGAGTCCAATTTAAGCCGCACATGCTTAGTCGCAACAAACGATATCAACAGAAGGAAAACATGTTTGTAAAAATAGATAGCTTTATGGCAACTCTGGAATGTGTTGTTGTTAGATGTAAGTTATTTAAATGATTATAAATATGGTGATTTATAAGAAATGAAGTAAAATTTTAAGTGCATTTTTAAATTTAGCCCTCTTATTTTTAAATACTTAATCCACGAGTAACAAAGTAAACATATACTTTAAAAACAAGAATGCTATTTTAAGTGTGTCATGTATTAAGGTTCAGTTATAAATATCTTCTCTTTCTTTATGTAACTTTTTTACTAATGGAATCAGTAGACCACAAATCTTGAACACAGAGATAGAAATAAATCTTCCTTGTAAAAGTACAAAAATGAATTTAAATGTGTGCAAAAGTAATCTCTAATCACTAACACTTAGTAATATGATCTAAGCACAACACTAGCATGTACATTGTTGGTAAGAAGGAATGCATACATTTTCCCTATTCTTTTACTGTTTACTACAATTCATTCTTTACTGGCAATGAGAGCATATTCACTAGGTTGAAGTTTTAGGGTTGTGTTTCTTTGGGTGACATGCAAAACTTACTGAGAATTTCATGTGTCAGCTAATGACACCTCCTTGGAATTTCTTCCTGGACCTAAGTAATGTAGGTGTGGGGAAGATAGAAAGAAACAGGTAATTTTGTGTAGCTTGTGTGTGTGTGTGTGTGTGTGTGTGTGTGTGTGTGTGTGTGATAAAGAGAGAAGAGAAGAAGGAGCAGCAGGAGGAGAAGAGAGTAGTAGGAGAAGAGATGGAGAAGGAAAGAAAAGGAAGAAACGATAGGAAGGATGGAGAGAAGAGTGGAAAGAGGGATGGAGGGAAAAAGGGTGGGATAAGAGTGCTCCCAATTCTTACCTTATGACACAGCATCCTAATTCCGAGAAACTTTACCACCTGGGCAGAGTTGCAATAGAAGACTCATCCTTTATATTGTAATGAGTTGACTTTTGCTATCTTCCCAATGAGCATCTTGATGAAACTTACTAAAATCATAGTTACTGTATCTTGATATTACAAGAGTTCCTTTAATCAGATAGGTAAGGAAAAAGAAAATATAGATAGAAACAGAAATAAGATTTAACCCAAGCAAACAAAGAGAGTCAAACTCTGAATGGTTCTCAGTCCTGTACTGGTACAGTGCTTTCTACAACAATAAAATGTTGCTGACATTCCTCTCGGTTGCTGTCTGCTCTGCATCTGAAGGACTTTCCCATGCTTTTGTATTAGCAGCGAATCTGCGTACTTCCTTCAGTCGGCTTCAGGAACAAACATTTCAAGCCTCAGAGTATTCATTGAAGTACCCTGAATTAACGATTCACACTTACAGTGCTTCCTTGTATAAAGATTATATTGAGAATTTTAATAGTTTATTTTATTTGAACATATTTTATTTTTTGATGTCAAATAATTGCTGTAATATTTGTCTTGGGAAAGGCAGGATAAAGCTGATTTCTTTAGGTAAATGACTGACGATTGTTGAAAGTAAATGGGTGTAAAATGTGTGATAAAAGCTATATATGCAGATAAAATACATTTTTTTTCTGAGAAAATTGAAAACAAGAACGTACCATCTCTGCCCTATTTTCTTTCCACCAATTCATGGCATGAGCTACAGACCCTTTAAATTCGCCTTGGTAGTTTCGTATTTTTCCTCCACAGTGTATTGTGGCAAATTTTCTGTTTGTCCAAGCTTTTATGTGCGTATTTGTGTAATATATTGACTTTAAGAAAAATTGAGCTGATTCTTCTGTTCATCTGAGTCACAAATAATCTCAAATTTCAGGGGTTAAAAAAAACCCCACAGTATTTGCTTTTGTTTATGACCCCTCCCAGTAATAGCATGGGGAGGCACCTCCAATTAGAGGTCCCTTAGCTGCTAGCAATGGAAAAGCTGGTAGTCAGACCTGGAATGGGGTTGGGGGACTGGAGCAACGAGCTTGGCTAAGCATCTTTTTGTGTGTTCCTTGACCTCTCCCAGAGGTCTCTCTGCAAGGACTGGTGCCAGCTTTATCACGGCATGACAGTTTTTGACAGTTTGTATGATGGGATTTAGCTACAAAGGTATGTTTTTCATGGTGAGCCTTGCAAACTTTACAGTACTTGTTAAATTTCTTAGTTGAGATGGTTACAAAAGCTACCCAGCTGCAAAGATAAGAGACATATTTCATCTTTTGAAAAAAATTATTTTATCTTTAATATTGTTTACATAGCTGAGAGGGATGTATGCCCATATGGGCCTCCGATTAGGGTGGAGAGGGTTGAGGTATAGCAGAATACTTGTTTTAAAGATTTTATTATTTATTTTTATTGGAAAGGAGATGTACAGAGAGAAGGGGAGACAGAGACAAAGATCTTCTATATGCTGTTTCATTCCCCAAATGGCCACAGGAATCTTAGCTGAGCCAATCTGAAGTCGTGAGCCAGGAGCTTCTTCCTGATCTCCCACGCAGGTGCAGGTCCCAAGTCTTTGGGTCATCTTCAACTGCTTTCCCAAACTACAAGCAGAGAACTGGATGGGAAGTGGTGTAACCGAGACATGAACCAGCGCCCATGTGGGATATTGACATATACAAGGCGAAGACTTTAGCCGCTAGGCCACCATGCTGTACCTGAATATTTCAATTTTTTTCCCTCCTGTGTCCATTGTAGAGGGACTGGTCCTTGCTGTCAAACTACATCAGCACCCAGGGATAGGGGACTATATTTTTTTTCCTGCCTTAGTGATTCTGATGTGGGGAAGAGTGTTTGAGGC